AATCTGATTTGCAGCAGGGAAGTTCAGCGGAGCGTACGGGCTGTAGGCAGTGTTAAGTGGGACACAGAGCCTTCTCATTCTAGGGCACCTAAATCCAGAATTACTCACTCAGACCAAGAGGGACAGCTATCTGCTAGCTGACTTATGTATTAAAAATACTGAGAGAGAGCTGATCACAAACAGCACCACTGTAAAGTGAAACTATCGAGACCTGCTATCACTAGGTAGGGAAAAAAAAAAAAAGCCAGGAAAAATATTCCTTAAAGTTTCTGGACCAACAACATTCAGAATTACTGATGTAACTTTGTAAACAGCTTGAAATGTTTTCTAAGTTCTAACAGCAGTTACTGGAATTTAAAAAAAAAAAATGTGCCAATGTTCTACAAAATTCTTTAAATTATAAAGCTTTTAGTTCCTTGTCATTGAAACTTATTCTTCACCTCATTATAATGGGCATATTTCAGCATTTAACATCATTAGAATAACAAATGCTGATTTTAAGGAGTTAAGAGATTAAAAAGATGATACTTAAAATGCAATTCAGAATATTGCATTATACATGCCACCATGAATCTGCAAACATGCTCATTTTCATTAAGGAAAAAAAAACCTCTTTGTATATAGCATGCTTCCTTCATACTGTCAAATTGTTTATTCCTTGGGCAAATGAATGAAAAAAAATAGCATGAAATTTCTTACAATAGAAGCAAATTAATTCTGGGCCCCACAAAACTAGTAATAGCCATTTATTTTAGAGGTTTAATGTTTGACCCACAAGGCAGTCTAACACTAATGATTTGCCACTAGTCTTTCAACTAAGTGACGAAGTCAAGAATGCTAAGATCTCCAGAAGATGCACCCTCGCATCTTCTACAGAAACACAAAAAAAATTGTTTTCTTAATTTAAAAAAAGTTACAACAATGCCACAGAAATTGCAGAGGTAAAACAGAAAGATGTCTTTGCAAGATCTTTACTACTCAGAATTAATCAAAGCAAAACAGCCATCCTAGTGATAATCCCCTTTAGTGCTTCACAGTTTATGCAATAGTCAATTACTAAAGAGGATGAAAGACAGAACAATCTTTGCAAATAGGTCACTGTCTATATTTATAATGATTAAAACTGTCTGCTACTAAAAGTAACTTTTAATAAGCATAAAAAGTAACATCAAGACAGTGAATGTATTTTAAATATATTCTATGTCTCCTACGACAGAAGAGGAGGTAACACTCACCAGAAACAAAGTTATTTCACATAGGTTATGCATTAGCATTGCTGAAAGCACATTTTAATCTTTGTCTGTAACTATTTTATTCCAAAGTATCATCCTCATAGATAACACCTAACCATTCTAGACATGATCTCTGAACTTAACCAACTCTTTCCCCATCTGCACACCTTCTCTCTCAAAACTTGGCAGTAGATTTTACCTGCAAACACTGCTCAAAGCTCCTTTTCAAGACCACTTTTAATGTCTTCCACTTTTGCTTCAACTTTTCTTTCCTGTTTAGGCGTGCCTAAACATGTAATTTTTTTCTTCAGAACAATTACTCGGGGCTCTACTGCATACTGCTGGGACCTCCCATCTGCTTCTTTCAAGATTGTCCATCTTCTGCTACAGAATTCTCCTCTTTCAAAATTTTCCTTTTCCCCCCCCATCCCTGGCCTCTCTGAGGAGTATTTTCTGCCCCTCACTGTGGGATCAGGACATCACACCTGACACCGTTTTCCTAAAATTCTATTGAATTTCATTGATTCTCACAGCTTCAAGCGCCACCACCATGTCAGAAGTCTTATGCCCAGCTGTGCACTCCTGAACCATTTCATTCAATTCCAATGCTACCTACAGTTACTGTGTCCACCAGAGATTTAAATTTGGTTAAGTTGGAGCTTGTTTCCTCTCAAGCCCTACTTCCTCCAGTTACCTCCAGCCTTCCTGTAGTTCAAGTCCATGAAGTAACATCCGATTCTTACAATGCCTTATGCACCAGAGTTGCACTCAATAGTTGGAATTTCTTTGCATGAAATGTCAAGAATATTCATTACCCAGTCTGATCTTTCTCTTGAGCAGATCATTTGCTCCTATCTTCATTAGCAAGTTCTTCTGCTCACACTGTCACCTCTATCCTTCATTTCATGTAATATTTCAGCTGCTAAAAAAAAATCCTTCCTTTATGCAGTACTTTGCAGACTCTGGATCTTCCAGTATTTCCACAGCCAGCAAGCCTATGAGCTCAAGACTGTACAGCCGCAGAACCTGCACTCCATTACTGGAAAGGAGAAGGAGGATAATATGAGATTCTTCTAAGAGGTGGTTACAACAGCAGCATTCCTCTGCATCTCCTACATTTGTACTCAGGATACTAAAAACACACTAAAGGTTGGGCTAGGGCTGAATACTATCACCTCAACCCCCTCCAAAAAATCACCTACACAAAGGTATTAAGGTCATTCTAGCTTCTAATCTTACAACTTTAAGAGAAAACACCTGTAGCTTAGAGTTTATTATAATGCAGACTGCATAAAACTGAACTCCACAGCAGGCAGGGGAGGGAGAACCACAGTCAGTCTTGTGAAGTGAAATCCTGTTTGTGTGTGAAAGCTGGGAACTTGATGTTCTCACTACAGACTAAGAGCAATAAAAACAGCTTTCTGAGCCATTAATTTCTGCACAGCTGATTTCTACTGAACAATGCTCATTATTGAAAGAATTCTAAAAAAAAAAAAATGCGAGGCTGTTCCAGTGAGAAGGCTGACACTCTGAATATCTAGACTAAGCTAACAGTGACATCAGTGCTACTGCTGCTTTAATCCCTATGGCTACTAAATGTCAAACATTTTCATCATATTTAAAGAGCTTGTGATCGCACACAATGAGATTAAGTTACTTCACAGTTTTAAAATAAGACAACTGCAAGGCACAGTGAACATCTGCATTCTTGTCACCCAAGACCACGATAATGGCAAGTTCTTCAGTAACAGTAGCCAGAAACTGCCGCGCTTTTTCCACAGCCAGTATGTAGCATTTTTAGGATTTGTAATTTTTAAACACTGTGAAAACTCCCATCTTCAGACCTTCCATAACCCAGTGAAGTCTACAAATATGTGCATAGCTGTCCCACTCATATCCAAACTCACAAATAGCTTGTAGCACTGAGTCAAGTATATTTGGGGGTGTGGGAGGGGGGAGAAAGGTGGAAAGACTAAGTGTCACTGCATCAACAGTCACAAAGTCCAGTGGAAACTGAGCAGCAGGCCACGTATTTCTTATTGTGTGACAAAACACCCATGTAATGTTAGTTTCTTCTACTTTAGAGAAATGAGATGCGTCAAATTATACTCAACACAGTCGAAGGCACTCTTAACATACAATATAAACTTTAGTGTGGTAAACTATTTAAAGTACGATATACTTTCTAAACATTCCTTAGTATTTTCATAATTTGTTTGGCAATCGATTACTATGGCAGCAGATGGGCTACTACACATGCTTCCAAAATAAGCATCTTATAACTATTTTATCCTTCCAAGTTCTAAGTAGCTCATATCAACTACAGTGAGCTAGGACACTGCAGTAAAGAACATGCAAGAAAACTGATCAATCTTCACTGCATAAGCAAGAAATTATTAAAAAAAAAAAGAAACTAAATTAAGTAATCCTCTTTATTCCTTATTATTAGGGGGGGAGTTAAAATAAAACTGTCATAGAAGTCCCATAACTAAAGAAACTCTGAATTTCAAGAATGAGGCCAAGAGTAGAGTAGGATATTGAAAAAAACACCGATTCTGAATATTTCAATAAATATATTTATATGAGCTCATATAGTTCAAGAGTACATAAATCACCCAATCAATCTTGTATCTTTAAGATCTTCCCACACTCACTCAGCAGCTTTGTCTTAATTGTGTCTTATTAGCAAAGTACTGATTCACAGCTCCCCATGATAAGATTTTTATTTCTAAAGTTAGCATCAACTTTTATTTTAATACTACACTTGAGTGAATTCCTTTGGTACTCTGAATACATGCTGCTAAGTGGAATTTACTATAATGATCAGTTTGTACCCAAGCAACAACAGTTTCACATTACAGAGTTAAAGTTGAAGACTAGGGAGCTTTTAACTTTACAATTAAAAAAAAATTTAACATCTCCCTACAGAAAGATGGGGGTGGTGGTGGCAGGGAAGCAGGGGAATTGTCTATACACACACATACATAATTATGTGTATGTACACGTACACCACTAGTTCAAGAAAAAAACTGGATTACAATAGACCAATTAACTTGGCTACCCGTACCAGAAGTGACCTGATTACCTAAGAGTGCTAATCTTTTGTTGGGGGTGGGGGAAGCCTGTTTAAAAAAAAAAAAAGTGAGAGAAACCACTTTACTAAGGAAAAAGGCCATCAATGCTCAGTTTTCGCCTGAAGTGGGAGTACATCATTCCTGAGATTCTTCCATACTAATTAACAAACTCACATGTTTTGAGTTTTAATCCAGAGTAAAGTTGTGAGAAGCAGAATTGACAAGGCTGACTCATTACAAAAGCCTACAAATAAAATAATCAAGCCTGAAATTAAACTCCATATAAATCTTAAGTGTACCATTTTTAAACTATTAAACACACTAACACATCAATTTACAGCTCTTATGCCATCTATTCACATAGTTAGAAAAAGCTGACAGTTGCTAGCACTATTATTTCAACAAGCCAAGTAGTAAGGAGGTTACTGCAGTAGGCTCCCTTCCTCTGGAAGAAAATATAACCCAAATTCAGTGTCATTTCAAAACAATCTTAATAAAGAAAAACTGCGTCTCTGTAACATTCAATCACAGAATAATGTAAATGGAATTAATTCATGCCGAGATAAGACATTTTTACTTAAACAACCTGAGTTTATTAGGAATAAATCTCAAAACAATAGTAAGCAATTATGGCAATAAGGAAACAAAAGAAAAAAAAACCAGACAAATCTACTGGGATCATTTTTTAGCTTACCTGCACTTGCTCTGTGGAGCTACTGCTGAGTTCATCTCCAGACTCTGAATCTTGGTGAATTTTTTCTGAGCCTTCTCCTGCTGAATCACAAGATTGTTCATGCAAAAAGCTGGTCTTCTCTATTTCCAAGAACTCTGGACATGGGAAATGACCCATGGAGACAGTTCTATACTGATTGGAAACCTTGGGAGATTGCAACTCATTGTTAAGTTTTCCATTGTTTTGGGTAAGGTCCAGACTCAAACCAAGAGTTTGACCGGGGCTATTGTTCGGTCCCAGATTTTGATTGGCATCTCGAACTAAGCAAGACACTTGAACTGGAGAAGATTTTCCAAAACTAGAAAGCTCTGGTGACTTATTCACATTTTCTGTTGATCTCTGTAATCCATGTGTCAACTTCAAAGCATTATTTGGCAGCATGCTTGCCTGCTTAACAGGTGGCATCAGCGCTTTTCGTGGTATTTCCTTCACATACTGTGCTGGCACATAAAAGGGTTTGGAATTTTCATCTCTTTTGACTTGCCACCAATCATCATTAGTCTTTTTCACCAAGATGTATTTCTCCCCTTGCTTAATCACAATTTTCTTGTCCTTGGCCTCATACTCATAGTCGTATTCCACTTCAATGTACAATTGTCCTGGAAGGATCTTCCCACCTTTATCAGCCATTTCTATTTGAAAAGACTTCACCTTTTCAGGCAAAAGGTAAGCCACATTCTGTTTCAGAAGCGTTATTTTCCAGTTAATAATCAGAGCTGTAAGGGAAAAAAAAAACAACATATCATGTAATAAAGTAATTATTTAAGAGCACTTCAGAGGAAAATCATTTTTAAAATAACCCTGCCTATTCAATTTATGTCAACCTCAGACTAATTAATTGATGGAAGAATGCAAGACTTTCAGATACCTTTCTCAGTGACAAAACAGAAACCCAGCAGAACAACTTAGTTACCGATTTAACTCTCCTATTCACACAAGCCTCCTGCTATCAAGTGGCTCATTAAGCCTGTTTCTATTACTAAGTAATGTTGACTGATCATCAGGGGCTTGGTGGGGGGAATAGTCTGAGTCAACCTCTTGCTTACACACAGGGTTAATTTCTTCATGGAGTTATGTTACTACCCTGCTTTTAATAAAAATATTCAAAAGGAGAAGATTACTATTTGCTTATTTTGATTCCTATTTCAGTTCAAGTGTCCCTTCAGAGTGCTCAAAATTCCTTACAAAATCCCTTAAATCTCCCTCCAATGCTACACACCAGTCATCAGGCTCAGCATGGGCTGACAATCCTTGACCCACATGTGCTGCATGCCCTACAGAGCTTGCTAACCTTCACCTAACTGCAGAAGGAGATGACATGGGGACTATGTGACCCACGCTGTCTGAGGCTGCACGTCATGTTGGCTCTGCATCTAGCTGTTTTCTATAAAACAGGTGGTATGAAGACTCTTTTATTTATTTCTTTAAATTGCTAGTGTAACTGCAACATAGAATTTCATCTATAACCATGGTAGTGTTAGATAAAAGTATTCAACGTTTCCAAGATACTTTGGTTTCAGTGGTTTAAATTCTGTATATTTACTTTGCTCTTAAGAGAGCTTTTTGTGGTACTTATCTTACAGAAAACCTGATCCAACTAAAAGTTTAAGGACTAAAACAGAAAACACGAACAAAAAACCCAACAATAATGAAACAGGACTATGAACCAAAACCAAAAAAGGATAATAAATGAAAAGATAATACATGAAAATATTGAAAAGGACTTTCAGCATCTTGTAACCCAGACAACCACCACTGTATCTGCACCCATGAACTAGAATTTCTCTCTATTTAATCATGTAGCATCAATATCACAGTTCATGAGTGGATAAGCATCATTCTTGCCAACTTACACTGAACACAACATAGCAAATCAACATGAAAGATATGATTTCTTAATCTTGAAAATCAAAGCATGTAAGGGGAAGATCTCTAGCATTCAAATAGAACGTAGGAGAATTCAAGTAAAATGCTACCACATTTAATCTTAAAGATTAACAAATAAGTCCTTTTTTAAAAAAGCATGTTTCATGAATGAGAAAAATTATATAGAAACTTGCAGCTCTGCAAGTTAAGACTTTGTGATGAGATTCATAGCATTCACCCTGCCACAGAGTAGAACTAATGCAATTCCATGCAGGCAGACAAATGTAGAGTGAATTCAGCTACCCTAAATGGGACTAAGGACAGAAACAACAACAACAAAGGACTTCTGGGGATAGCTGAAGCAGAAACCCCTAACAGTTCTTCAATTTTTCTTTCGCCATTTCTGCTATTTGGTCTCAGCCTTGGGAAAAAAAAAAAATACATTTCCCACATCACTCGGTAGGAAAAGAAGCAGCTAAAAAGCTTAAGTATGATGCCAAGACAGAAGTGTCCATCTGTGGCAAACTGTGTCTTTCTCTCACCCACAGCCCATCTTCTTTTACTTCCAGGAAGCATTTCTTACAGGTAACTTGAAAGCCACCATCGTTTACAAGACTCCAAATTGAATCACCAGATCAGACTTAAAATTTAATCGAGGACTTGGCAGAAGGCATGATGGTACCACATTCAACAAAGCTGACAGTAAGAACACAAAGCAGTAGAAAAGAATGCTACGATTCTGGTGTTTACTCTCTCTACCATAAAACGGGTACATTGAAATTCACAGCATTATAGTCTATTTACAGCCTCTGTACAAAACAACTTGCTTACCTGCTGTTCTACATAAATAGGTATTTTTAAGTGCAGCTTTGCAGTTGTTTAGCAACTGTAGCAGAAGGTAAACATGAACTAATTGCAAGCCATTCCCACTCTCTTCCTAGTTTTGGAAGCTCTGCCATACAAATGTAATTTTTTCCTTGTTACTAAACCTGACTCCTCCCAACACTTCTTCAAAGCCGCTACCAAACCCTTTCACTGCTTCAAGGTCATATACCAGAAAAATACAAGTGTTTCCAAGTTACAGGCTACCTCTAAGGTCTGCTACCTTGTAACTTGAGATGTAGGACGAGCACCCATTCACACTGTTTGTCCTTCTCCCATACAGAAACCAAAAAGAGAACATAAGCCTATGGTTTCCCACAGGGCTACCAAGTGTTTAAAAGCTTGGATTTTTCATTTCTCTTTTGCCAATTCCATATAACTATTGAGAATGCATGCTCAACATTTTTTCAAGACAGACAGGTTCACTAAGTTGCATTTTATGCTTTAAAAAACAGAATTTTGATAAATACAAGGTAAATAAAATACAGCAGCTACAAAAACAGCTCTATCCACTTTTGAAGTCAGTGTTGCAGCCTCACCCCTTTCCAAAAAAAAAAAACCACACAAAAAAAACCCAGAAAAAAAACACCAACAAAAGTAAGCAGCACAATTTTTTGTTCTTTCATCCAAGCTGCAAAATTATCAAGTCAATAGCAAACATTTGGTAATGTTGAACATAGGATCAAAAAGAGACAGGCTGTGTTCTGCATTTGGCCGGAACACTAAAACAGTTTTATAAACAGATCACATCATCAGGATCAAGCAAGGCTCCAATTCTCTGCCTCAACAGAAAGAAGCAAGAGATACCTATGGCATAGGTGGGAAATCTTTCTCAGCAAGTTTAACAAATACCAACATTAACCCTGTAGGTCTGCAAACTATCATGGCCTTGATTCCACAGATCCAAATGCATTAAGTTTTATTTTGTTTGAATTTTTTTAACGCAGCTGTTGTGCCACAGAAGGTAGACTGCCTGTACCCTATGCGCAGCCCAGGGGATAGCCAACTGTAATATCCTTTCAAGGGTCCATGTATCCGTCTCGTAGAACTCGGGTTAAAGAGCCATGGAAGCCTTGGCCAAACCTCTACTGTATGTAAGGGGCCTAGAACAATTCAGATGTGAATGTACAATATTGACATTTGGAGTAGTGACTTCATTGTGCTACTAGTCAATAACTGAAGCGATACGGCAGGTCAGTAACCTCACTGTATTTTTTTTTTTCTTTGCCATTACCTATAATGCTGGATGGCACCCATTTTGGTGAAGAAGGTTGAAGAACCCTAATTAGGGGATGATACTCATGAAAAACCATTTACTTCCACAGAGGACATCTGTAAGCTTTAATACCCTCAATAAAGTCTCAATACCCGATTAAGAGATTAATAACAACGAATGGCCCCACTGACAACAAAGACCTAAGAAAACATTATTCTTGAATACCAAAAAACAGACTCAGGCCACACTTTTCTTCTGGTGAAGAAAAAACCCGACTGCTGCAGGGTAACTAATGTAAGGTGGGCCTCATCCCCACCTGGAAACGCATTCCGCCCTTTCACAGAGCGCTGCCCTTGTCCGAAGCGAGGACACGGGTGACGGCACGCAGGCCCCCTGCCGCGCTGAGGAAGGCAGCGGCGAGCGGCCGCTCCGCTCGGTACCCACGCACGGAACTTTTCGGGCTCCGGCTGCCGACGGGAACCGTTCCCACCTCTTACTCAGCTAAGGCTGAGTCAGGCTGGCAACCCTCGGTGTTCGCAGAGGTCGGCTCCTCCTCCTCCTCCCCCCGCCGCGCCCCGGCCGTGGGGCGGCACAGCCCGCTGCTCCCCGGGGCCGGGCCCGCACCGCGCCCCGCCGCAGCCACGGCCCGGGGCGGGGGGGGGGGGGGG